GGAGACGGTGTGCTGGAGCACGGTCGGGGTGGAGGGCAGGGAGACGGTGTGCTGGAGCACGGTCGGGGTGGAGGGCAAGGAGACAATGTGCTGGTCACTGCAGGATGGAAAGCACACCCCTGGCCCAGAAGCACCCCCTAGTGGCTTCAGTTTGAACTAGCGTGAGAACCAACCTCCTCCCCATCCCCTAGGATCCAAGAGCAGCCTGGCTGTTCCTCTCCAGCCTCATGTGCCCCGTACCCCCTCCGCCATTCTAGAAGCACAGGTCCTTGGTTGCTGCTCAAACACCAGGAATTCTTGACCACCATGGGACCTTTGCTCTTGCTGTTTACCCTGCCCAGAGCGCTCTCCCCACACCTTCAGATTGGTCACCCCTCAATTCCTTCAGGTCTCAGCCCCTGCCCGGCCCACAGACCTGCCCTAACACAGCCCATCACTTCCTCCCCGGCACTTGTCATGGTGCACTAGGCAACTTCCTGCTGGTTACAGCTGCCCCCCCCAGGCTGTCAGCTTTGTGAGAGCAGAGATGCTTGTCTCTTGTTCACTGCTGTACCCCTAGCACCTGGCAGAGTACCTGGCACAGAGTGGGCACGGCTGAAGGTTTCTGAACTGATGGGTGAGTGAATGAGCGAGTCACCTACCCCGGAGTCCCCCCAGGATGTGTGGGGATGGGGGAATGTGCCAGGACCCTGTCCCCCCGCCATGCCCAGGCCCCAGCCTACCTGGCAGTATTGATGATGTGCTGCTGTCTGTTCTCCTTGGGGTCCAAAATCACCACCACACAGCTGTTAGGAGGGAGGAAAACGTGCCTGAACTGGGGGACACGCTGAAGTGCAGGGACGACTCCAGTCCCAGCAGAAGAGCTCACGCAGAGACAAAGCTCCTGTGAGCAGAAGATTCTCTCTCTGGCCTCTTCCTGGTGTTTATGCTGAGAATCCTAGGGCACTTTACACTACTAACATACTCTTAGGGAAACCAGTACTAGTCTATGGGCCCTGGGCTAACAAAGGCCTTGTTTTGAAATCTTCACAACTGCCAGATGAGGTCAGGACTCTTGAGTCCATTTTACAGAGAAAGAAACTGAAGCCCAGCAAGGTGAAGGCCTTTGTCCAGGGTCACCCAGCAGGTCAGGGGCAGAGCCGGGATGTGAAGCCACACATGTCAGATGCACGAGCCCACATCCTTGTCCTCTACCCTGGACTGCTTCCCAAGACTTTGTAACAGACAGTGTTCATTGGGACTTACTATGGGCCTGCCTCGCCCTCCCCAGCGGGGAGTCCCTTCAGCACCCAGAGCAGTGCCAGGCTAACTGGAAATTTGTGGAATAAACGGCTGCAGGATCTCCTTGAGTCCTCTCAACCACCAAGGGCAGGACAGTCACGAGATTCGCATTACAGAGCAGAAGCAGAGGCTCGAGAGAGAGGCAGAGGTGTACGTGGTGGGGCCGGGTCACGGACCAGGCCGCCTGACACCACCGCTTGGTCTAAGCCACCTGTCTTTCCCACAATCACCGCAATCTCCACCTGCAGTCACAGTTAAGGCTTCCATAGCCCTCCCTCCAGGCCAGGTGCTGTTCTAGACACAGACGGGCCAGCAGGATCCGGCTCACAGCCCTCAGAAGTAGGCAGTGTTCCCCATACTCTACGGACAGGGAAGACGATGCCCAGACAGATTCACCCGTGACTCCCCAGGCCAGGCTAGAAAGGCTCCAAATTCCACGGCAGCGACCAGAGGCCGAGGCCGGCCCGCTTGCTCACCCGGCTGAGTAGGCCACGTGGCCTGTGCCAGGGTCACAGGTTAGGCCGCTGCTGTTCTGGGCCGTGATGCCAAGCACCTTCTCGAGCGACACCTGCAGAGACAAGGCCCAAGTCAGAAACAGCCGCTCCTAGCAGGTCCCACAGCACCTCGGCCACCCGCTCAGTCCTCGCTGCGCTCACGGAGCTTCTGCAGTCAGGCCAGCTGCTAACGCTCGTTCGCCTCCACGTTCCTTTGACAGGTACACGGTGCTGGGTGCGGGGTGGGGACTGGGGGAAAGACAGACAAAAACCCCTGCCCTCCGGAGCTCCCACTCTGACAGGGCAGGATGAAAGATGTGGAAAGTGAACAAAACAAGTATATAAACTAAATGTCAGGTGACAGCAGGGGCACAGGGAAAATACAGCAGGAAAGACGCTCGGGGAGGGAGGGCAGGGGATGTGGAAGGCCTCACTGTGAGGCCACCTTTGAATGAGTATGCAAATACTTTCACGTGGTTGAAAGACTTGAATCTCCACAACAATTCACGGAAGAAGGCGCTATTATCACCTCTATTTTACCGACGAGGCCCCTGAGGCCCAAGGTCCCACAGCTGCGGAGCAGCGAGCTTAGGACACAAACCCACAGTCTAGCTCCACAGTCAACACTTTGGGTGCTGCAGGGGAGACACAGCAGTAAGCACAAGTGGATACGTCTGTTCCCTCATCAAAGTCACAGTCCAGAGGTTCAACAAGTGAAGAGGCCAGTGAGCGTCACAGTTCACGTTTTACAACTCTCTAAGCAAAGTAAGTTCAATGGGTCACTCCCATGATAGTTGACTAGACAATTTATACAGAGGAGGGACTCACAGAACAGAGCTATTTTCATATTTTGAATAGACATAATTATTACAGGGCAAAACATTTTCAAGCAAGTCCTTGGCCTTAGAACGGAAAGGCAAGCATAAGATAATAATTAACCCGTAGCTATCAAGTCGATTCCGACTCATAGCGATCCTACAGGACAGAAGAGAGCAGAACTGCCCCATAGGGTTTCCAAGGAGGGCCTGGTGGAGTCGATACTGCTGACCTGTTTGTTAGCAGCCAAGTGCTTAACCACCGCGCCAACAGGGCCCCTAGATGATAACAGCCAGCATTTACTGAGCACCTACCAGGAGTCACACACTGCATGAATCCCATAACTGTATGAACTTACTTAATGCTCACAATAACCCTGCGATTCTGTCACTATCGTTAGACCAGCCTCATCTGAAATAGAGGCCCAGAGGGGGTTAGGTAACTTCAGCCCAAAGTTACCCGTTCAGGGTAGAGCAGCCGGGAGTCTACCCCAGGCAGCCAGGCAACGGCACTCTCGTGGTTTATCTGTCAATCAGCATTACTGGACTGACTGGTCATTGTTGGACTAAATCCTCTGCAGACTAGATGCACTCTGTGCCGCCTGACGAGGTAAATGACACGTATTACCCAAAACACACAACGGTAATAACAGCAAAAACGGACACTAACGGGGTATGTGCTGTGTGCCGGGCGCTGTTCTGAGTGCTTAAGGTGGCTTTGTCATTTAATCCTCGCAAATGCCCTGTGAAAGAGGAAACGGAGGAACGGAAAAGCTCCTGACTCGACAGCAAGGACAGAATTAAAGTTCAAGCCCGGGCAGTCTGGGTCCAGAGCTTGTGCTCTTAACCGCTCGGCCACACCGCCTCTGAAATTGCTGTCGGTATTCCCCTACGTTTATACGCTGCTGAAGCTTCCAAGGCACTTCCAGGAACAAGCTAAGGGCTATGAAGAACAGGGTGAAGGAAGAGAAGTTGAGAGGGGTGTCCGCTTCAGACTGGGGTTCAGGAAGGCCTCCTGGGTAGGGATATTCAGTCTGAGACTCAAGGAACGAGAAGGAGCCAGCCAGGTAGACTGCAGCAAAAAGCCCAGGCAGAGGCCTCACCAAACACAAACAGCTTGGAGCCTCAGGGAGGCAGAAAGGAGACTGGCAGTGTGGCTGGACCTTGGTGAGAGGGGGGCCGGGGAGCTACAACCAGAGAGGTGTGCGGGGCCCACGTGGCCCAGCTTTGCAGGCAGGAGTTGGGGATACGTTCAGAGTGAGCAGGAAGCCACTGAGAAGGAACAAGATTCAGCAATAGCTACCACCGAGTCCTTGGGTGGCGCAAACGCTTAAGTGCTCAATTAGTAACTGAAAGGCTGGAGGTTCAAACCCACCCAGAGGCACCTTGGAAGAAAAGCCTGGCAATCTGCTGCTGAAAGGTCACAGCCTAGAATATGAAGCACAGTTCTACTCTGAAATAAACAGAGTCTCCATGGGTTGGAACTGACTCCACGGCAACTGCTGTGCTTTGTTTTGATCCCCCCTTTATCTGACGTTATGCTCTGTGCCAAGCAGATCACATTAATAATTTCACTTTATCTCCCTGCAACGCCAAGGTCTGGTTATTATTATCTCCATTGTACAAAAACACTCTGTAGCTAAGGGAGTTGAAGAACAATTTTTTTAAAAACCGATGCCATGCTAATGGAATTCCTTCTACTTACTGTAGGATTTAAGGAACCACTGTGCTATACTCCCTCCCCCTGGGGCCAGTACTGCTGAGACTTCACAAATATTACTCACATCCTCTCCGTAGTTTTGAGTGGCAATATGAAACAAGAATCCCACCTTGGTAAGGAAAAGGAAGGAGGCAGGGCAGGGCGTGAGGGAAGGCTGAGCAGAGCTGAGAAAGAATTAGGGTAGGTAGGACTCTGGGTAAACCCTGGTTAAAAAAAAAAAAAAGAACCAGTTGCCATGGGGTGGATTCTGACTCATGAGGACCTCATGTGTGTCAGAATAGAACAGTGTTCCATGGTTTTCGGTGGCTGATATATTGGAAGTACATCCCCTGGCTTGGACTCGAACCTCCGACCTTTCGGTTAGCACCACCCGGGGACTCTGAACCATGGTAAAAACCGGTTGCCGTCCAGTCGATTGCGACTTACAGAGACCCTATAGGCCAGAGTAGACCTGCCCCACCGGGTTTCCAAGCAGCGGCTGGTGGATTTGAACTGCTGAACTTTTGGTTAGCAGCCGAGTTTAAAGACCCTAAAGACTCAGCGGGGCGGGGCCAACAAAGGCATAAGGGGAGAAACGTCTAAAGGTGATTGAGTGGGGCTTAAGGGACACGCAGGAAGGGGATTCTAGGAGGTAACTGTCAGAATCCAAGAGGCATGAAAGGTGTACCAGGGAGGAACTCCCGGCATGTTCCAAGGGCTGGAGGGGGTAGGGGGCTGGGATCAGGGGCAGAGAGGTGGGGCTAGGAATGATGGGCAGGACCCAAGAGGTGGAGACGGCACAGTGGGCGGGGCCTTGCCTAGGGAGGCGGGACTTGGGGGAGGAGGCGGGGCCAGGGAGCAGCCGGAGGGGATGAGCCCCGGGCTGATAGGCGGGGCCAAAGGTCTGAGGGCGGGACCAGGGGGAACTGGGAGGGGTAGGGCAGGCAGCTTCTCACCCGGCTCTGCACCGCGTCCTCCGGCGCCGCCGTGAGTCGTGTCCGCCGCCGGAGGCAGAGCGGTGGGGCGGGGGGCGGGGAGGACTGGCCCCTCCGCGCCGGAATCCCCGCCGTGACGGACGACAGTTTCTGGGCCGCGTCGTTCCGCGCGTAGACTCCGGGGCCCAAGGCCGCCATCGTCGCAGCGGGGTCGGGCGGCCGTTACGCGGCTCAACCGCCGCTGCCGCCAAGAACCACTCGAATAGCGAAGGGCCGCGGGAAAGCCGGCGCCGCCGCCCATTGGACGCGGCGGGCCTCCGATCTGGCCAATCTCAGGGCTGCCGGGCGGCGCTTGTGACCAATGAGGGGTAAGAGGCGGGGCGGAGTCTCCAGCGTGGTGGAGCCACCGCAAAGCGTACCGCCCGTGGTAGGAAGCGTGTGAGTTCGAGTCTACTTGATGCTCTGATCAAGCGTGGTGGTGCTTTTCATCCAGTCTGCGTTTTTATCACTCACTGGATATACATGTTTATGAGGTAAGGCCATAACTTCGTCACCTCGCTTTTTGCGGCCAGCCAGGTTGACTAGCCGCGCAGTTCGACAGTTACCCGCAAGTACCCATACGGTGGAGCCGAAAGATTGACAGGCCAGTCCATTTGGTTGGCGCCAAGGTCAGAAACGCCGTGACGACACCGCTCCCCCCACACGTGATAAAGGTCAGGGCCTTGTGGAGCCGGCTTTACGCAGACGTACGTGATTGTCCCCGTTCACTACGTCACGCGGGCGTCGCCGCGATGAGGCGTCGGGGCGCGTAGTACGCATGCGTCCGCTTCGTACTCCCGCACGTGATGGGACACGGGGACCGTCACGTGAGACAGGCGCGGGGGCGGGGCGGGTTCGGAGCCGCTCCCGCGGCTGAACGCAGCGCGGCTGGATCGCCGTGCCCTAGTATTGCCGAGCTCCGAACTGCTTCAATACTGACGGCCGGCTGGGCGGACGACCGCCCTGTGAGCTTCTACGAGTAAGCGCCAGCTCGGGGCGGGGCTTGCAGGGAAGCCAGCCTCTGGGGGCGGGGCCTGAGGATAAATGCCGCTACGAGGGGCACCTGGTCCCGGTTGACGGTGGCTTCCAGAGTAAAAGCAAAAAACCAAACCTGTTGCTTTAGAGTGGATTAGGACCCAACAGGACAAAGAAGAACTGCCCCATAAGGTTTTCAAGGAGCGGCTGGTGGATTTGAACTGTCGACCTTTTGGTTAGCAGCCAAATGCTTAACTACTGCACCACCAGGGCCCCCATCCTGGAGTAGGGGTTAGCAAAATGAAGAGACGGTGTTCCCGCAGCAAATACTGCACGTGCCAAGGGTGCAGATGCGTGAAAAGCAGGGGTAGCCGATAAACTGCAGTAGTGACCCGAGCGAGCGCAAAGGGCGGTGAGATGTGTAGGGAGATGAGAGGCTGATCCACGCTTTTACGTGCAACTGCTCACTGGGCATCCCACACTTCACACTGAGCTCCTGATCTTGTCTCCCCCAAACCCTTCCGTAGCTTTCCCTGTGTCAGTGACTAGCTTACTCCGTCCTCCCGTTGCTCAGGCTGGAGTCATCTTTATCTCGTCTTCCCTCACATCTGAGAAATTAAAAACCAGCTTGGACTGTTTAAAAAAAAAAAGTGCCCTCCTGTTTATTGGATTGGAATAACACACGGAAAAAGCCAGAGACAAAGTTGATAGGAAAAGTTACTTCTCTCAGGGACATGCTGCAGCCCTAAAGTGTCACAACTCCACTTCTTTGACTGCTGCTTTATCCCAAAACCAAAACACCGAACCTGTTGCCGTCAAGTCGGTTCCAACTGGTAGTGACCCTGAAGGACGGAGTAGAACTGCTCCATAGGGTTTCCAAGGAGTGCCTGGTGGATTTGAACCGCCAACTTTTTGGTTAGCAGCTGAGCTCATAATCATTGCACCACCAGAGCTTCACTGCTTCATTACTGAGAAATTTTGTTTTCTAAAATCATAGGATATTCTGAACTTCGCAGTTTGAAATGGTATCGGTTAGGAGGAAACATCTCACTTTTGCCTGGAGAAGATGTTACTTTGACACAGAAAAGCAGGCTCTATTTACAAACCAGGTTCAAAGCTTCAGATAGGAGGTTCCTGGACACAGTATTTCGCATCTGCCTTAACTTTACTGCTTCCAAGGAGACAGGACCCTGGGCCCACTTCTCAATCCAGACCTAACGTTGGTCCCTTTACAGACAATTGTGCTTTACTGCTAGCCTGTCCAGACACTGCTCCCAAATCCAGTAACAACGCTATCTCTTCCTTTGTTTGGTGAAAATCCCCCTGGTAGCTGTGGTGCCTCCCTGTTGCCGTGGTAAGTAAGGCTGACTTTGTTGGCCTGCGGCTTCATATCTGGTGGTCTGAGGCTGTTTGGGCTAGGGCACGTTCTTCTCATTCAGTCCATAAAGAAAGTGTGTTTGCTCTCCCTTTAAAATCTACCCCAAATGTGACCATTTCTGACCCCTTTCTCTGCCCCAACCTTGGTCTTGGTCATCATCACCTCCCAAATGGACTATTTTAGTGGCCTGGACACTGGTCTCCCTGCTCCCCACAGCCTGTTCCCCACAGGCAGCCAGACCTCGGTTAACACCAGAGTCAGGTGACGACCCTCCTTGTCTCAGAACTTTCCTATGGCTCCCACCTCACTCCGCAAAAGCCGAGAAGGTGAGGCTGGAGCAGACAGGAAGCAGGCCTGCAAAGCCCTCCAGGAGCTGGTTCCCCAAAACCTGTATGACCTCATCTCCCCCGTTCTGCCCCTCACTGTGCCCCTACCAGACTGGTCTACTTGATGTTGCTCTAGAACACCAGGCACATCACTGCCCCAGGGCTTTTGCCTATGCTGTTCCTGCTGCATGAAAAGTTCTTACCTTTATAGCGTCACCTTCTCAGTGAGGCCTTCTGTGACCACCGACCACCACCCTATGTGAGATTGTAACCTTCCCCCAGATGCACACATAGTCTCCCTGTCTGCCTCTTGCTTTTACTTTTCCCTTTAACACTTACCACTATCTGGCATATCACATATTTGATGTATTCATTCATTGTCTCCCCCTGTGGTGAAATGAGTTCCTTTATGTGGCCTTTTGCCTTGGTTCTTTGGAAAAACAGCTGGAGAGATTTTCCTCCTAAACCGTGAGGAGTTACCTTTGCCCTAGTTTTCTACCCCAGAGGGTTTGTTACATTTCCTGGGTAAGCTGTAAACAACTTGGTTTGATACTTTTTGTCTGGTCCTGGGCTGTAGCCTGCCCTGTGATTGGTATGCAGCTTGCAGGGATTGGTCAATAGACTATGCAAATGAAGTGATTATCCAAACCAAAAAAATCCATTGTCCTCAAATCGATTCTGACTCATAGTAACCCTATAGGACAGAATACTGCCTATAGAGTTTCCAAGGCTGTAATCTTGACGGAAGCAGACTGCCATATCTTTCCCCCGCAGAGTGGCTGGTGGGTTCAAACAGCTGACCTTTTGGTTAGCAGCCATGTGCTTAACCACTGCACTATCAGGGCTCCTTAAAATGATTATAGACTATGCAAATGAAGTTATGATAACGTACTATGCAAACGAAGTGTCTATGGCCTACGGAGGGGATCGGTCAGGTTGTGGCCCTGGTGGGAGGGCCATGCTTGATATTGACAAGGAGCTTGTGTATATATGCAGTCAACCCCACAGAGGTTTTTCAGACAAGAAATATGTTAAAGCACAAGGAAGAGTGAAGAAGCAGAGCGAGGAAGCAAAGAACCTCCTGAAAGCTGTAACACAGGTCAAGGGCTGTAACACTGAAGACAGTGAGAGGCTCAGAAAGGGCCCTGCTGCAGAGCCAGTAATGATAGGTCAGAAGGTTCCCTGTGGCAGAGTTAGTGGTGACAGGGAGGCTGAAGGCAGAGAGGCCTGTCCTCGGGGCTGAGAAGGGGTGTGCGTGACGGAGAGAAAGGCCTGCTTGCAGGGCCACGAGGAGCTGAGACCTGTCTTGCACTGAAGAAGGGAGACTGCTTACGTGCTTCCTGATCCCGATCCCAAATTGTATCGTTACTTCTTTAATAAACCACTTAACTGTAAGTACAGTCCATGAGTTCCGTGAGACATTGCAGGTAATTGCTGAACCCAAGTTGGGGAGGAAAGAGTGTTAAGGGAGGGAGAGTGGCCGGTGTCAGATGGCGTGGTACAGGAGCTTAGAGAATGTGGAAATTTGGGATACGTTTGACCTGTGCCTTCTCCCAAAAGCCCAAACCCATTGCCATCAAGTGGACTTTGACCCATAGCAACTCTATAGGACAGAGTAGAACTGCCCTGTGGAGTTTCCAAGGCTGTAATCTTTATGGAAGCAGACTGCCACATCTTTTTCTCCCGCGGAGTCGCTGGTGGGTTCCAACTGCTGGTCTTTGAGTTAGCAGCCGAGTGCTTAATCACTGCACCACCAGGGCTCCATCTCTGCCTGATAGGAATTGGCTCTGCTGATTCTCGTATTCGAAGTTATTCAAACACCCCCACCACCACCCCTAAAATGTCAGCTCCTTGAAGACAGGGATTTTTATTTGTTTTGTTCCCTGTTGCGGAGCCCTGGTGGCGCAGTGGTTAAGAGCTCAGCTGCTCACCAAAAGGTCAGCTGTTCCGGTCCACCAGCCGCTGCTTGGGAGCCCTGCGGGGCAGTTCTGCTCTGTCCTGCAGGGTCGCTGTGAGTCGGGACTGACTCCACGGCAGCGGGTTTGGTTTTTGTTTGGTTTGGTTCCCGGTCGTGTCCTCAGCACTGAGAACAGTGCCTGCCACGTAGCGGGCGGTCAGTAAGTACTTGTCGGATGACTCTGGTGAATGCAATTCAGCTGGGATCCCCAGGAAAGCCAGCAGCCCGTGTCCCAGCTGTCCTCTGAGGGATCGGGTGCAGAGGAGACTTCAGCCTGGATCGGGGTGTCCAGACTGGCTTTTTAAAATTACAGTGAAAGCTGGAATTCGGCGGGGCTGCCTCGTTTTGCCTGGTCTCGCCAGTTTTCCACCTTTGACAGGGTACAGTCTTAACCGCTTTTCTATCGCTCGTTTTAGTGGAAAATATTTTGAGTTTTCCTGCTCTGAGAGGTTTCTGCCTTACACAGGTTCCGGCTTCCGCAGGTTTTACCGTCTATCACGCTGGGACCATTAATTAATTCAGC